AAGGTGGGCCGCCCGAGCCCACCACCTGTCTTCAGTCAGGTTGTCCAGCACCAGCCTGTGGCCCCCCATCTGAGATGCTATGGGGTGGGGAATGGCAGAGGAGGTGGGGTGACCTCTCCAGGGAAGCAACCCGGCAGTCCACATGAGCCCAGCCTCCACTCTGATGGGGAGAAACCTATGGCACCTCCAGGGAGCTCTGCCAGGCCGGAGGGGGACTCCCTTGGCTTGGCCAGGAGCCTGAGCATCTGCTGCACTCAGAGGGAGCCCCGGGTGGGCACCGCAGAAGCTACAAATCTGCAGTGCTGACCACACTGTGAGCCTCACCCCCATGGGGACCAGACAGGCCCTTGCCTGTGGCCTTGGAACACTTTCCATCACCCAGATCGCCACATTTCGGCGTCCACCCCCACCCGCCCCTTGCAAATACCCACCCCCCCCACCCAGGTCCAAGAGCAGCAGCAGCACCCCCCATGCTCCCAGGAGCTGGCTCTGCGCTCGGTGCTGCCGGCCACATCCACCTAAATCCCAGGACAACCCTCGCGGAGAGGAGAAACTGAGGCTCGGGCTCAGACACTTCCCGTGAGCCACCCAACTTTCAATGGCAGTGGGCTTGCCCTCATGAGCACTGCACCACGCGGGCTCCCGGTTGCCCCATCCGTCACCTCTCTGGAAGGTAACTCTGCCTGCCCCTCTGGATGCAAACTCTGCCCACCTGCCTCCTGCCTCGTTCCAAACCTTCCTGGAGATCCGTGTCCTCCAGAAAGCCTTTCTAGACAGATGCCCGGCAGCGTGAGATGTGCCCCCACCTCCCCAGCCCAGGTCTGATGCTCGGCCCGGCCTGGAAGCCCATGACAGAGGGGCTTCTGCTACCCCATGCGGGCATGGCGGCTCTCCTCCCCACACCGAAACCGTGGGTGTGCCCGGTCCCGTGTTCTGGACACAGAGAGTACCAGGCCACTGTCCCCTTATCGCTGCAGAACAGGCACCAGCCAAATCGCCCAGGCCCGGCTCCTCCAGTCCAGCCGAGTGAACTCAACGCCACACGGCTCCCGCCTCCTGCCCCAAAGGTGCCAACGACAGGGAGCTGGTACTCATGAGGGGCCTTGTGTCTGGCTGAAAAGCAGGAGGCGTCACCCGAGAGGCCCACTGGCCTTAATCAGGGACAGGTCTGTACCCATCACCAAGCAACAGGCCTTGTCCTTCTGGGAGGAAAGGGGCACCTGCCTCCAGCAGGCGAGGGAGCCCCTGTCCCAGAGGTGTCTGGGCTCCCAGATGAGCGGGTTTGTCCGCCTGGTCCCTTCCCCGCCCCCCACCAGGAGACCCGCTCCCTGCCCTGGCCCCCCAGCCCCACCGGCCTGCTCTCCGGGGCCCAGAGCTCCAGGACCCCTCTAGGAGGGTCCTCCAAAGAGACAGCAGAGGGTCTAGAAGGGCAGGCACAATCTGTACACGACAAAGCACAGCTGTGGGACCAGAGTGCCGAGGTTCCGGGCCAGACTGCGTTTGCACAAACATCCAGGACTTTCAGGATTCTTTCCCCGCATACGACTATGGTTCCAGCAGACAGCGCTGAGGAAGGCGGGCAGCAGCTGGCCCCTGCAAGGGCTTTGCTACACAAAGACCAGACTTGTAATAGCGTTCGCGAGAACAGATGTGGCCTGCTCTCACCCAAGAACATGCCGCCCAACAGCTCCGTGCCTCCACCGACCCAGGGTGAGATCAGGGAAGGAGTCGTCCCTCCGGGCCCATCTTCCCGGGGGACGGGGGGGGGGGGGGATCAAAACTCTCTAAAAAAAAAAAAAATCACATGAGCAAAATACAAAACTCTCTTCTTGCTCCTACATGGGGGTTCTCCACAGAGCCCCAAGGTCATCCCGCAAGGGAAGGCCGAGGCCAGTGTGGGACGTTCACGCCCATGAAGACCACTGCCACCCTCTCAGTGCCCGGGGGAGAAGTGAACCCGACAGACATGCCCGTGAGAGAGGGCAGGCTGAGTCCCCATGCCTCCTCGACAATGTGACAGACCCAAAACGAGAAGGGTGCTCCCCGGGGCAGAGGACAGACGTGCCTGGGACGTGGGGCATCAGCAGATCCACACACCCCACACACATCCACCTGAGGCAGCTTCCCGTCGGCCCTGTAGGGGCATGCTGCTCCAGCCTGGACACCCACCCCAGCTGCCTTCCCCTCCGCCCTGCGGGGCATGCCACCCTGGCCCGGATACTCCCACTAGCTCCAAACCTCCCAAAGACACCCGACGAGGGCCCTCTGGCTCCCCTGCAGGATTCCAGTCTGCAAGCATTGCAAACCACCCCCCGCAATGCCGTGGCTCAGAACTTGCCAGGCTTTGCTGGTGGCCCCTGGGGCTTCTGTTTTTCAGCCATGAGCGCGTGCGTCGTGACAGGCCGTGTCCGCGGGCCCAAGAACTCTGGGGGCACAGCAGCGGCTGAGGGGCTGCCAGTCTTCCCCCCAACCCCTTTCGTCCTACCTTGCACAAACCCCGAGACACCACGTGGGCAGCCCCACGGACCCAGACCAGAACTCCTCCAGCTCTGCTCTCACCACTCCGGCTGCCTCCCCAGGACAGTCCCAACTCCCGGTGGGCACGCCTGGCCTGGCCCTCTGATCCGCTCCAACTGGCCCCTCCTTGTGCCCCATTCTCCAGTGGACCAGCTCATTCCGGCCTCCCCCGCTTCTGCCTGCTGCCCGGGACCTGAGTGCTCTCCTCCTCCCTCCTGCAACTGAATTCCGACTTCCGCCCAAGGTCTGCCTCCTCCACTGCGACCTTTCCCTGCCTGGGCCCCGCTGCATTGGATCCGTCACTGCTCCTTTAGGTCGTGCGCTGTCCTCCTTCTCAGACTTTGCTGACGGCTCCTTCCCCACCTCCGACCGTTCCAGGCCCGGCCCCCAACACCCACGTGCACTCCAAGCTCCTGGGACACTTAGGGAGGCCATGCCGGTCCCTGAGCTCACACACCCTTCCTCCCAGAAGTCCAGAGGGCTCTAACGCCTGACCCCTCTGCCTTTAGAGCCCTTTCAGCTTGTCAGAGCACACAACAGGACGACCGATGCACACAGGGAACCAGAGGTTCCCTAAGAGTGAGAGATCTCCCCCGGGACCCACAGGGCTGCCCACTGTCGCACCAGGATGGTCTCAATGAGGCCATTGTCTCCAACCAAATGAGAGGGTCAAGAAGCCGCCTGGGAGCCAGGGCAGAGGCCGCCAACATCTCCACATGGGGCCTGTTGGGGTCAGGATGGAGTCACACCCGGGGACCCGGAGGCAGAGGTGCGAACTGGAACAGCTAGAGGACCACCCCACCCCCAAGTCTCCCCCCGCCCCGCCTCGGCGCTACCATGGAATCCTGGCCTTCCCCACACGCCCCACTGCCCGCTGCCGGCCCAAGGCTTTCAGAACCGCAAGCCAACCTCACTCCCACAGGCCCCAGGGAGGGTGCACGCGCGGCGCGGGACCTGAAGGGGGCAGCCGTCTCCAGACGGGCTGGTTCTCACACTTGGACACTTAGGAAAGGCTCCCGAGAGCAACAGTGGGAGTCTCAAAGGAGAGCCATGCTCTGGGCCCGAAAAAGCCGAAACAGAACGAAGGAGAGGTAGGGAGACCCCAGTAGGAGCACATTATCCACGATGTCCAAACAGCAGGGCAAAAGCCATCACCGCCCTGCAGACCAGAACTCCCCTTGTTCAGTGCTCAGTGCCAGAATCACAAAAGCGCTCGGGCCACTGAGCCAAGAGCAGGCGCGTCCTCTGCATGGGTGTGCCAGCCACTAGACCCCAAACACTCTAGTCTCTTCACACCCTTGCCCAAGCCAGCCCAGGCCCAGCCCAGAATCACAGCTGCTGCCACTCGGCTTGGGATCCACCCAGAAGTGCCCCACAGGTACGGCTCACCCCAGGTAGACCATGCGTGCTGCAGAGCTCGGGACACACAGATCCCAGCCCTGGCGCTGCACACGCCCCCCCCCCCCCCGGGGGGGTTAGGCGACCGCCTGGCTGGGCCTGGCACCTGGAAGTCTAAAACTCCTTCCAGCATAGCCGCCCCAAGGCCGGGCCCACCAGAGGGCTCTGCCCAAGGCTGCCTGGGAGCCCCTCGGAGGGGCGGGGGCTCCAGGTCCCAGCAGAGGCAGGCCCGCCCCTCAGAGTTCCGGCCCTAGAAGTGCTGTCTGCAGACTATTGTGTGAGCTTCCCTCCCGACCGCTTTATTTACTCCCCAGGACGCCAGGACGCAGAGCCACAGGCAGTCACGAGGACGCACGAAGGCGCGCGCGCACACACACACACACAAACACACACACACAAACACACACACACACACACGGACACAGGCTCAGGGCTGGGGGAAGCCCGGCGCACTCGGACGGAAGAGCCCCCCAAGTCTCTGCATACTCTGTACACCCCGAAGGGGGGAGGGGACCAAAATGCGCTCCCTACCGGCCCGCAGGCCCCTCCTCCCCCGCGCCGCCCGACTCCAGGAGGCGGAAGGGGGTGCCCCGGGCCTGGATGGGGGCCCAACGGGCGCCCCCCTCTAGACCCCGCCGGCCCGAGCCGGGTCCGCTCGGCGTCCTCCCCCGCCGGAATTCGGCTCGGTCCGGCCCCGAAACGCGTGGGGGAGGGCAGCCGCCCTCTGGGCAGGACGCAGAGGCGGATGACCGGTTCCCCGCCCCGCCGCAGGGCCGCGGGGGCCCGAGGGCCCGACGGGGAGCGCCGCGGGGAGGGGACTGAGCGACGGCCGCGAGGGAGCCGCGCGCCCCGGCCAGTTCCGCGGGCGCCCCGCGAGCCCTCGAGGGGACTGTCGCCGCTCGGCAAATACAATAAAAGGAAGGAAGCCGGGAGGCAGCGCGGGGGCCGCCAAGGCGCGCGGGCCCCCGAACCGGGTCCTCCACGTAGGCGACAGGGGCGCGGGGCAGGGGGCGCGCGGCCGGAGGGCGCCCCTTCGGGGGTTCCCGCCCGCCCCTCCGCGCGTCCGCGGCGCGCCCGGCACCCACCTTCGAAGTCCGAAATGATCCCGTCCAGCTGCGCGTTGACCGCGGGGTCGGACATGGTGGCTGGCGGGCGGCGCGGCGCGCGGAGGGCGGCGGCAAGGAAGCGCCCCGGCGGCCCGGGCCCTGAGCCCGCACTCCCGCCGAGCAGAGCTGGCCGCCCGAGCCCCTCGGCCCCTGGGCTCGGCTGAATGAATGGGGGAGGCGGGCGGGCGCCGGGCCTCGGCTCCCCGCGCCCCCGCCCCGCCCCGCCCCCGCCGCCCGGGCGGATCAGGTTCCCGCACCCGGCCCGGCCTCCCCGGCTCGCACTGGCTGCTCAGCCCGCCCGTCAAGGCCGGGGCCTGGCGGGGGGGCGGGGGGGTGCTGGGGCCCGAGCGGACGCCGCGGGGACAGGCCGAGTCCTGGGCGCCCGACGCGGCGCCCCGCTCCTCCCCGCCTGGCCCGCGCCCCGGGGACGGCGACCGACGCGGCTCGGCCCCTCCCCCCCGGACGCCCCGCCGCGGCCAGATGTGGGCGGATGTGGGGGCCGGGAGGCGGCGCGGGGGCGGTGCCGAGGGGGGAAGAGATTCCTCCCCTTCCCTGGGGCGCAGGGTTCCTCCTGAGGGAGGTTTTATTTACGCAGCCAAACAAAGTTCACCGCCGCCGCCGCCGCCGCCGCCTTCCCGCGCTCAGCGGCTGCAAGGGTTAAGCGCCCGAGCTGCCGGGCCGGGGCACCCCCGCCTGTCGGCCCGGAGCCGCGGAGCGAGGGGCGAGCGCAGGAATCACATGGCCCCCCCGGGGGGGGGCGACCCTCCAGCGATTCCCGATCCCTACCCGTCCACCCCCGGGGTCACTTGCTGCACCCTCCGAGCCAGGTGACAGAAAAGGTGCCAGCCTGGGGGGGGGGAGCAAGGAAGGAGCGCCCCTGCCAGAACAGCCAGGGAAAGGTGCCACCTCCAGCTTCCACAATAAGGGGGGCAGCTTGGTGGCAGAGCATACACCATGGTCTTTCCCCCTGGTAAGGCGACGATATTCCCTAGGATCTGAAGGAAGGAGTTCCGTAATGGGAGAAAGGGGGCTCCCCATCTCCGCTGTACCTCAGGCCTGGTCTTGCCCTCCAAGGCAGCCGTTTCTACACGTGCCCATCCAAACACTGATTAAATTCTGTCCCCGACAAGGACGGCAGGCAGGTCCCTCCAGGCTGGAGACAACAGGACGGGCTGGAACTTGCAAAGCTAAAGGATGGAGCCCCCAGGAAGGGCCCCCCAGGGCTGGTCCCCACAGCGGAGGGGGCCTCCCTTCCACTCCCCCTGCTAGTTAGTTGGGCGCTGGGCTCCAACCTACTCTCCCCCTCATTATCTTAGACCCAGAACCTCTGCCCGAAGTCAGGCCCCGTGAGAGTCCGTGGCGGGGAACACACCCTCCCCGCTGGTGCCTGTCCTCTGTGTGAGGCCTGGGAGTGCCTGAGAGCTGGTCCTGGGTCTCAGGTTGATCACTGCCACTCCCCTCCCAGTCCCCCACACCCCTAGTCTGGAAAGATCCCAAATGGGCAGGGGATGAGGAGGCCCGACTGCCATCCCAGGTACTCCCCACCTCTTTCAGAGAACACACTGGGTTGGCTGGCTTTATCAAGTAGATGAAATCGAGTCCTTTCTTTTTAAGAAAACCAGTCACTCCCTCCCTCATGCTTTGGATATTTTGAACTATTTTCAACTAAGGGAGTTTGTGGACATGGAACTGCAAAACCACAGACATTTCAGATGCGCACACACCCTCCTCTGCCTGGGAGCCCGGGTTTCAAGAAGGGAGTCACGGCTGCCATGGAGGGCACCCCGATGGCCTTCCCAGTGGCCCTGGCATGTCACGTTGGAAAGCCAGTACCTAGGCCTGCCTGACGGCCCAGCCCTCCGGGCCACCTGTCCACCCAGTATTGGGGAGTTTGGTGGTCCACTGCCCCTGCGAAGCAACCTAACTACCCAGGCCCCTGAGAAGATGCTGGTCCACAGCATTATTCGCCAGTGTTTTTATAAAAAGCACCTGGTGAGTGTAGACACACCCATGCGATTGTTCTCCCAGAGAGCGGGCATGGAGTTCCACCAGATTAGCATAGGGTCAACTTATTGTGCATTCTTCATGTCCATTCACAGTGGAGCTGAGCAGACGTGGGCGTATCTCCTCGGGGAGCCCAGCCAGGGTGCACGCCTCGCCAAAATGCTCCCCTGTGGGAACCTAAAGGACAATGGCAGGAGGGAACCAACCTCCACAGCCAGAAAGTGCCCCATGTTGGCATGACTGCACTCTAGAGGCCATCCGGTCCATACCCCCGCCTTCCGTTTAACCACCGGGGCCACGGCTGCCAGGCCTTGACACCTCCAGGTAAGGAGATTCCCCGTGCTCCCTCCGGAAACCCTGCCCAGCGCTTGGCCACACTCCCAGCCAGGAAGTTCGCCCCTGTATCTAACCAACTGCTCTAATTGTACATCATTTATTTCCTCTTTTTTTTCTGTCTTCAGAGGAGATGGGAAACAGCTGGGCACCACCCTTCACATAATAATCACCTTCTCCAAACTCGAAGACAATCCGGCCGCTCCTCGGCCTTCTCTTTCCCTGCTGAAATCGTGCACCCAGCCCTGCCTGTCTCAGCCCGGCCTTTGATCACCTCTGATGGCTTCGTCCGGTCCGCAGAGTAGGCCTGATCCTGAGGGGCAGGTGAGGGGTCCCTAGGCCCCTTCTCAGGGCAGAACAGTCAGGGCGGGGCAGGGGGGTTAGGACGGGCATTCCTGGCAGGGGCGCTGGGCAGGTAAAGTGAGTAGCAGCAGAGAGAGGAAAGTGAGCTTAAATTTGGCAAGAAAAAGAGAACCACAAGGCGTCCACATTCTGCAGTGGTACCCTCTTCCAAGGCCATGGGGAAGGCAAGACTGTAGGTCTGGCCCAAGGGGAAAGTGTGATTAGAGGGGACACTGGAGGGGCGACCCGCCTCCCAGGTTCCCCCATGAGACCTGTGATGGGTGCTCCAAAAACACACATCCACCCGAACCTCAGAATGGGACCCAATTCGGTATAAGGATTTCTGCAGATGTAATTAAGGTGAGGATCTGTAGATCAGCTAACTCTGGATTAGGGTGGCCCCTAAATCCAATGACAAGTGTCCCTGTAAGAGGCCAAAAAGGAGACACAGAGAAGCCATGTGAAGTTAGAGGCAGAGATTGGAGGGATGTGGCCACAAGCCAGAGACACTTGGGACCCCAGAGGCTGGAAGAGAAGAGGAAGGATTCTTCCCTTGAGCCTTCTTCAGAGGGAGCGAGGCCCTGCTGACACCTTGATTTCAGGCTTCTGGCCTCTAGAACCGTGAGAGAAGACTTTTCTGCTGCGTTAAGCCCCTCGAGTGTGGTCCTTTGTTAATGGTGACCCCCAGACGCTCTACAGACCTCGACCCCACCAGCACCTCCCAAAGATGTGTATGAGCTGCACAACCTGCTGCAGGTAAGGAACGCTGCCCAGCAGGTGGCCGTCCTGAGGGGACCTCCTGGGGGGCTGGGGAAACCCTGACAGCAAGCAGCAAGTTTTAATAACACCTGAGGGCCAGGGATGGGCAAGAAAGGTCTAATATGAAGTCCAGTTCTAAACCTCTCTGGGAATGGGAAGGAGCAGGCCTGGAGAGAAACCCCACGGGTCAGGCCCTGGTGGGATGAGCCTTGGGAAAGAGAGGGAGGGAGGAAGTCAATGGGCGGAAACAGCCATTTGGCTCAACCTCGGTATCCATGACCCGGGGCTCCATGTGGGGATTGGGGAGCAGAGGGAGGACAGTGGCTCTTTGCCCGGCTGCCCTAGGCCTTTGGCCAGGACACTCTGTTAAGTGGACCATCTGTTTCCTCAAAGACCAGGACAGGCACCCATGGTCTCGGCCCTGCCCAGGCCTGGCGCACAGTAGGGCCTCCCTGAGCTCCAGAGCCTTGGATCCATCAGCTGCCCGACCTTCCACAGCCCCCAAGCTCCCTCAGTCCGCCATCTTTGTAAATGGTCCCTCCATCCACCAAGTGGCTCAGGCCAAGTATCTTGGCATCACCCTTGGGTCCCGTTTCCCTCACCCCCACATCCAGGCCATCAGTGAGTTTCCATCTCCAAAATATCTACGGGTCGGGCTGCTGCTGACCTCAAGTGCTCCCAACTCAGGTCCAAGCCCCCCCCCCCCAGTGGTACATGCTGCCTAATGTTTAACAACCGGCACTTTGGGGGTTAAAAAAAAAAAAAACACCTGATTATTCGGTAGCATTTGCCCATTTCTGTGGTGTAAATACCCTCACCCTGGCCAACTTTGAGCTACCAGTGTGACACCACTGAAGGCCCAGCAGGGAAGCTCTGGGAAGGAACCGTCACGGTGTAGCATTTCTATCGTACAGATAGGACAAGCGATGCTGAGCTCCAAAACACAGAGAATATACTAAAATGTACTGAAAGACTTGGGAAGTGTGAGTTCTGTGTATTTATCACCTTTGTTTGTAATGTCATTACTTGTAATTTGTATTATATAAATCTAACAGATAACTTTGTTTTATAGTATGATGTTTCTAATAGCGCAATGCATTTTTTATTGTGCTAAAAACATACATAACATAAAATTTATCACTTTAACCACTTCTAAGTGTACAGCAAAATGGCATCAAGCGCACTCACGCTGTTGGGCACCCATCAGTCCCGACCATTCCCAGGACTGTTGTCATCCTCCCAAACGGAAACTCCTATTGCCATCAAACAGGAGTCCCTGTGTCCGCCCCTCTGCTCCCACGGCCCACGGCAGTCACCACTCTACTTTCTGTCTCTGTGAATTTGGCTGCTCTAGGGAACCTCACACAAGTGAAATCATAGTGTTTGTCCTTTTGTGCCTGGCTTAGTTCACTGCGCATAATGGCCTCAAGGTTCATCCATGTGGTCACGAGTGTCAGGATTTCCTTCCTTTTTAAGGCTGATATTCTATTGTACGTACACACCACATTTTGTTTATTCCTTCATCCGTCGACGGACACTTGGGTTGCTTCCATTTTTTTGGCTGTTGCAAATGAGGCTGCTAGGAACCTGGGTGTGCGCATGTCTCCTTGAGTCCCGCGTTCATGCTTTTGGGCATTTACCCAGAAGTGAACCTGCTGGATCATATGGTAATTCCGTGGTATTTAATTTTAAGCAATAATTTATACATAATTTATTTTGTATTTTATATACATTCCACA